CACTCCCATGAATCTTGTTGATATTAATGCTGGTCCAGATATTAATCAATAACAAGGCATAAGGGTATGCCCATGCCTCATACTGTGTATTGATTTCTCTCTATCAGGCTGTGGAATGAGCAGTCTTTAAAGGATGCCCTCCTTGTACATGTTCATACCTAATCATATCTCAGTATTTTCTGAAGAGTGCAAAGCTTTAGTTAAATACTAGTGCAGATACCAAGTTGCCATCAAATTCAGCTATTTTTTATTCAAGGTGAACATAAATTGTGTTACTATAAGTAAGTGCTTTTACAACAAGTGTATGCATTTAGTAACCAAATTTAAAATCTTACCAATGAGTATTTGATGAAGTTGCTTGGATGTCAAAGTCAGACTGCAGTCTTCCTTCTCTCGGGTAGAAGATGGCAAAGCGCTAAGCTGTGATAAGCACAAGACATTTTTTCAGAGCAGGATCAAAATTCTTAGGCTTTTTTATAAGGCAAACACATTTTGCTACATTACTACTCAAGCATTTCACTTACTTCTTTGAATGAAGACTCAGAATCAAATGCTACCAATTTTCCACTAGTTAGTAGGCAATTCTCATCTAAAGGACGCGTTTTGAACAGTGGCTTCTCCTTGTCAATGTTTGTGATTGACATCTTTGGTGACATAAGCCCTTCAGATGGTTTAAGGTTCACAGAATTATCATAAATATAAAACTGCCTATGAGAGAGGGGAAGAAAAAGAATATAGATATCCAGAAGTTCAAGTAATCCATGTTCTACATATTAAATGTAGATTTACATATCTAAGATTTTTAAGGATAACGTATTTTATGTAGGAACATTTCATTACATAGAGTCCCCTCAAGTACAGAAAATGCCTTGAAAAGTCTTTATTTATTTATTGATTTCATTATGCAAGCATTAACATCAGTCAAAAAACAGAGTCTGAATGTATTATAAATTAAGGTCCAAAGACCACAAGCATTTCAGCATGGGACAAATTTGGGCATATGAGTGGCACCACTAAGTCAGTTCTGCACATATGTATACATACTTTTCATAGGAGACTGAAGTATTTATTTATTCTTTAAAGAATGTCTTACCTAGCAGCATCTTTCTGTAAACGACGTTGTCTGAAACTGGAAATCAAGTCTGTGTAGTGTTTCTTATGTGCTTCTTTTGACAGTTGTTCATAGGCAGTGTAAGAAAACTCTGGATCTATATAATTATATCTCTCAGCCTTTGTGAAAATAGTCCTAAATATTTAAAGAGAATTGTAGTTTCACTATGTGTATAAAACAATTCTGTGTCTTGTTAGAATGAAAACATTGATTTTGCTACATATATATTTAATTGCAAACATTCTTTTTACCACAGCTCATTATTAACATTTGACCTTGTAAAATATTGAAACTGTGGTAGCTACATTTACAGTTTCACGTAAGAACAACTCAAATTTATGTGTGAGAGGCTCAAGGTTAAGTAGAATGCAATAAATTTTAAAGAACTCTCAGTCTGAAGAAAAACATGAGTAGGCTGTTGTATATGTAACCAAGCTTGATCTACTACATAGCATACACAAATGTGTGGTTTCATATATTACATTTCCATACTTTTTACCTGTACTTTTTATTCCGTTCACTAGGCCTAACGCTGGCTGCACGGTCATTAGGAAAAGCTGTAAGTGCATCATCCTTACAATTCCTGTTCATCCGGTGAGTATGAATTTGTGTTTGTGCTGATTTAAGCATCGCCACAGGTGCTGTATCAGGCGACCGCCCTGTGCCATCCGCTACAAACTGCCCAGTTGCATTGGAAATCATTGGTGTTATACCTTCAGAATCAAGTAAGACATGTTACATGCATGTATAATACTTTTTTTTTTTTTTTTTAAACAAAATAACTACCAGCCAACTGCCTTCCCTGGCCTATATCACAAACAAATACTACAGCCCAAGCCACTACTATGATCTCCAGCTGTGACACTTTGTCTTGCACGTGTCCAGGACCAAACACCCAGAGCTGCCTCCAGCACAACATGGTGTGTCTGCAGTGTCCCAAGGTTTCAAATATAGGCATGATTTTTGACAAAAGAATACCCAAGCTGTCAGAACTAAAAAGAGAGCTCAGGTCTTTTTTCACTCTAATTTTAGAAAAGCACATGTACATTAAAGAGAAAAAAATATGACAGAAATGGGGCCTTGTGTTTGCTTACCTCTCCATACGTAAAGATACATGTTTAAAACAGCACTATAAGTAACAGCTAAAGAAAAAAAAAGAAAAAAAAAACCACCACCCTACTTTCCATCCTCCAAATTATAGGAATGATTACAACTTTCACTCCCAGAGGGACAGTTTGCAAGAAGCTTCATTCCAGTCTCTTCTCCCTTCCATCAAATACAGAGAGATGGGAACACATACTCATCCATAGACACTAGGAGAAAAGGAAGTTATAGAACCCATCTATATAAGGATCTGAAAAAACTCACTTTCCCTTCACAGTTCAATGAAGCTTAAAAGCAAAACACAGATATCAGTAGCCAACAGATTACAGATACCCCTCATAACCTCTTTATAAATCTCACATAGAAGCAGAATGGAGACCTTAACAGAGCAACTGGTAGCCACAACCACTTAGAAAACCTGACAAAACTTGAATACTCATTAATTCCTTGATCCACAGAAACATATTTTAACTGTCTTTTTGAAGCAAGAAAACCACAGGAGTTCTGGATTTCAACAATAAAACTCTGAAACTGCAAACTTTAGTTTCTTATCAATTCTTATTTGTCGTGGACTGGAAATACCTTCCTGAAAAAAGGAATGTCCAGTTGCTTATTAACCATTCCGGTACTCGTAGAAAGAACAGCGTTTTATCCTGACTTTCCAAAGACTTCTTTTTTTTTACTTGCCCACAATGCTCTCTTCGAAAAAAATGGCTCTTGCCTTCCTAGTTTTCATTAAGGGGTACACCTTCAAGTGGGCAGCAGCCAGTTAAAGAGTATTCAAGCTCCCCTCCTTACCTACACACAGAAACCAGAGGCACTGCGGTACAGGACAGCCCCATCGCACCAGCGCTACCCGCAGAAGCTGCAGCCTATTTGTGTGAGAAAAAGCTGCATCTCCCATAACTGGTTTTCAAATCCAGCAACAGGCCTAGTCAAATCTACCGTGAAGTGGCTGTCCGTGGGACACATTAGGAACCCAAAGAACAAATCAGAGACTAATTATTGTGTATCCTGAAAGACTCCTTATGCTGGAAGAGGATTCACAGGATGGAAAGAGTCAGTGGACACGGGACAAGGGGTAGCAGGCTGGATTAACTGGCAAATTTATCCGGCAATAGTAACTTTCAACCAATACCTTGTTCTCCTTCCTGACTTCTTTCTGGGCTTTACCCATCCTTCTACTTACGACTGAAACATACTAGCACCGTGTAATGGCATGGCTGCCAAAAACTGAAGCCTTTATTCTCCAATTTATAAAAGCTAAATAATATGATGAAAATCTAAGGTTTAATAGTTTAATTTTTAAAAAAAATTACACTGGAGGTTATTACTATTATTTTAGCCATTGTTTTATACTTTTATGGGTGTATGTCATACAACTGAGCATTCCCTCAACTCACAAAGAGATATTCTTTCTTAGAAACAAACTAAAAATAGTAAAACATTCTCTTTTTAAATGTTTAAAATGTACTTTTAAAACTTCATCACTTTTCACTTATCTTTTTAGCATCTTACCAGGATTAGTTTTGAATAGAACACTTTTTCGTTTGGATTTGCATACACCAATAAACGTCAAATATATTTGGTGAAAGGATTTTGTCTTCAAAACTGGTAAATTATTTTTCTCTAGTCCTGTACCAATGATATCGACAACTTGCTTCACATTAAGCGTTCCTATTTGATGTGGAGAAAATGAAAATACAACATCCTGGAAAAGAAAAGGCGTTATGAGACATATGAGGCAGAAAACCAGAGAAAAGTTTTGTGTAATTCTCTGAGTCACTTCTCTCCACACTTACTTCTAAGACAGGTGTTCAAAACTGGGCTTTTAGAACATGCTAGCTGCCAAGCATAAATTAGCAATATAAGGAAATAAAACTTCTACCCATTAGAACACCACTTGCTCATTTCTGGGACAAACTGTTCTCTCTTGTACCCTGGGTTACAGGTTTGTGCAATTATAAACGTCTCCCTATTAGACATAAACTTGGCAAAGTTTCATCCATTAAAAGAAATGTTATCTTACTGGAGTGTTAGTGACTTAGTGAAAGAAATTAAAAGGATCCTGCAGAGGACTGAATATAAATCACTCTTCTCAAGTCAGTAAAATATAAAAAGTTTAAAGTCAGGAAAAATCTGGACAAAGTTTCTTTGTCACTACAATTATTTTTTTCAAAATTTAAAATAATACTTGTTGCTCTCTGGAGCACAGGAAAGAACATTAGAAGACTCCACATTAGGAGAAAAAAAAATATACACATTTGGCTGATAATAAACACTATGGCTACTGAAATGAGATTGTTCTGGTTTACTTTCAGAAAATTTCACCGCTGACATTGTAAAGTAATCTGCATATCTACATAATCTAAGAGAAAGAGGTAGTTACCTTTGTGGATTTTTTTTCAATTTTTCCTTTTCCAGGAGAAATATTAAAATGAGCAGTCTTACGGAAGCTGAATGTTACTGGCAGGTACTCGGATTCATTTCTGAGTGTGCATAGAACTTGTGTTTCTTCACCCCAGAAACAGTCCATAAATTTAATAACTGGTCCTGGATTAAAAGTTAACATGACAGGAATCCCAGAACCTGTCAAAGCTAACTCCATGTGACAAGGATGATTCACTGCATTAGACAAACACACAAAAAAAGAAACAACAAACCACTTCACACACCTGTTAGGTTACAAACAGAAAAATCATAGTGTAGTTGCATGGCTGCAAAAATAAAATAATACCATAATATAATATGATTTATAATGACAGTTTCTATAAACGTAACATAGACATGCTTACTTATAATGGCTGGTAGATGACATACTCCCTCATCAAGGAAGTTGAGGATGATCAGATATTTACTTGAAAATGCACAAGACCAGTATTACTAAAATGCTGGTGACTTGCAAATGGCTGGGCTTTTTTTTATGTCCTCCAAATATTTACATTTATAATTAATTTTCAGGTGTTCGCTACCAGCAAGCATATACATGACACACATGATTGCCTCCTCCCTTCTACTCATTGCTCGAAGAGGCTAAAGCACTAAAGACGCAAGCTACAATTTAATTGTATTGATATAAATAAAATAAATGCAGGTTTCCCATAAAACTGCTAAGGAAGTTAAGAAATTAAAAGAAATTTAGAAACAAAGACATACAGTTTTAGCATTTATAGATACACTTCTGAAGGTGACTATACACTTCTGATTACATACTTGTGATTGCTGTGGAACCATCAATGAGGGCCTGCAGATACCCATCGTTATTCCCAACAACTTCAAATCTCAGAAACAGTACATAATCTTGTTTCGGTGAGAGGTCATTCACTCCAAAGTCCTTTTTGGGTTTTCTGTAATAGGTATTAGCTCTAATTACAAGATGGGAAAAAAAACCCAAACAAACCAACCAAAAACCACCCTTAGCCACCAAAAAATCAAGGCTTATTTTCCATCAGGTAATCTGTGCTCTTTGTTGTTGGTTACAGCTTGAACAAATGATCTTTACTCTTCCTTTCAGAAAACTGAACAGTAACAAATTTAAGCTCAAAAATATCTGTATGTTCATTATATTAGTCATTCTATTCCAATAGTTTTCTAAACAAAAATTACACACATAATAATCATATATAATTACAAGTTTAAGTAAGGGAAAATGGCATGAGCACATTTTGATTTTCTTTTCCTTATGTGAAGAAGAAATGTTCCTTTATGCTTACTTTTTTTTTTTTTCTTTTTTTAATCATAGAATCATAGAATGGCCT